AAAAAAATGTATTTCTTTACTTTTAACAGATATAAATATTTTCATCAGAGCAAATAAATATTATTTTCAAGTAAATTGAAGAAGAAAAAATAAATTATGCTAATTCAAAATAACAAATAGTTGAATATTCATTTGTTAATTAGTATATTTTTTATAAATTGTCTAAAAAATGTGCCAGTTTACAAATGAATGTTTCCAAAGCTTACAAAATTATCAATTGAAGAGATATACTAAACTGATAAGAGTTGTGAAGATAGAGTGAACGAATCTATGAATGTGAAGTAGTCATAAAATGAAGTAATTGTGATTAGATTCATATAAATTATGACCTTTGCTGACGTTGTCAACCTTTCTAATTATATTAAGGAATGACACTATCATTTTACTAACAAGAATTGAAACGATTAACAGTATAATTTTCATTTGAATTTGTAAAATATTGTTGAGAAGTAATCGATCAAAAATAAGCAATTACTGATAGGAAATTAAATAATTAAATGCAAATTAGTAATCTATTTATTTATATTATCAAATCGAAAATTTTTGACATGAACAAAAGCTTTGAGCAAATTTAAGAAAAATTAAAAAATATTAATTTCATATTTTTAAGTGATCTGAGATTTATTGATTGAAAGAGTTAATCTAAAAATGAAATGAAAGAGTAAATATAAATATGGAAATACTTCTAAAATTTTTCTCAATGATATCCATGGTAACGAGTTATAGAATCGTTTGACCAAGTTTGACAACGAGGGATTGACTTTTTGGCAGTTATAATCTTTGCAGCTGACAGCTGTGATTTAGCATTATGCAAATTTATGCAGTACTGATAAAATTAATAGAATACTAAATAATTATACAAATCAAGCAAATAATTGATAAGTTTTAGTTGTATTATTTTATAGTTTTTTAATTTTCGATTATGGCAAATCAATAAGGAACTGATGGCACTTGAAGAAAAATTATTCAAATTATGATTATATTTTCAAACTTTTTTTTGCAAAAGAACCTGTGGAATAAGACTAAAAGTTAGGAAACTATCTGCTTATACGCAACAGAAATCAAAACAGAATTTGAAAGACGCTTGTTATCAAACAGTTAATGGACAATTATAATTATTACCTCAATTTTACTAAATAGCAAAAAATTATTTATTAAATAGTAGCATATCCACAACAGAAAAAGTACTGAAGTAATTCTGATTATGATTAGCTAATTTCAAATTATGAATAATATAATGATTAAGAAAAATAATAATGTGATGGATATAGCTGAACAATAAAATTGCAACTTAATTCAGAATTGGATATTATTGCTAATATTTTGAGTAATCGAGTAATCGAGTAATTGAGTAATTGTTAACATTACATGTGATCTAAATTTTTGCAAATTTTGGCAAACTTATTAAAATTTTTGAATGTTCAAATTGATTGAAATGAAAAAGGAATTGATAGGACAGTACGTGTGCTTAATATTTACACAACAAAATTCGAAATAAAAAACTTAAAAATGAATTAAAAAAACTGAACATATTTTGTATCAAAATGATATCTGAATTAGATTTTGAAGATTAAGTGTTAAAAAATGCCGCCTTCTATTGTGAACTTTGAAATAGGATCAAATTTTGCGTAATTCGTATTGAATACGTATGTAGGATAAAGTGGTATAAAGCAAATTATATTTAATGTACTACTTTGTTTGCTTTGATTTAATTTTTTCTCTTTATTTTATCCAACAATAACTAAATATTTAATATTATTTGTTAGTAATTTAATATTTAATTATTTTTTCATGTAATTAAGTCTTCTTTTCCATTTCAGAAATGAAAATATAATCAAATTGTTCACTTGTTTCTACGCATTATTCATTCACTAATGTAAGTAATGTGCTTGATTATAACTGAAATGAAGTTTCAGTTTAATGAAATACGTGAACGATTTTTACGCAATTTACAAAATTATTAAATACTTTGCATAAAATGAAACTTAATTTATTGATTTATTTTTTTGAATAAACTTTTTAGCTATTTTTAGCAAAATTTTTATTTAAATTATGCACTACTTACATGATTGTTTATTTAAATTTATGCCAATATTTGTACTTTTTTACTTTGTTACGACAACAAAAGTTTTTAACTGAACCTATGATCAATTTTTGCCAAACATTTCCATTGATTATTTTGGTTATTTTCATTTTTAATCTGCCCATGTACTAACTTTACCTTAACTAAACTCATAATTTCTACTTTCTAAAATACAACTGCTTTTATTTTTTGCTATTTTCACAAAATACTGTAATTAATTCATACCTGATATAGACATCCTTCACTTTCATTCTGTTAGCATTTTATCTATCATACAACAGTTATACTTGCTTAAATTATAATTAAATTGGACTTAAAACTGCTTTTATAAATCAATCAGTAATTATCAATTATAACTTGAATAACAAATTTCTGAAAGCATATAGAAGCTTAGATCAATAAAATGCCTCCTTTTATTGACTGCATGATTGATTTGAAAGTAATCAGGTAGCGCCTAAACTGGAAAATAAACTACAAAAATGGATGAGTAGATGAAATTCAATTCAATTGACTCATGAATCACATGTAGGAGACTGTTTAGTACAAGTAATATTACTTGGTGACTAGAAATTGTATCAGAAATGGTTGTGCAAACTTACAAATAATATCAAATTAAATGCAGTATTGTTGTAGTCAAATATTTTGAATAAAGTCAGTGTGATTTAAATTTTTCCTGAAATAATCATTTCAAAAACGTAAATATTGGGAGTAAAGTTAAATTATTTCAAATTGGAATTCAAAAATTAATCAATACTTCTGGACTGAAAAATATTTTAAGTTTTATATTGGTATTAAATTTTTTAATTAATAATAAACAGCCATGGAAATTATTTTAACATAACCATTCAGTAAAATTTATAGAAATTTTTGTTGATCAGTTAATGCATAATTTAAACTATTTTAATTTAAGATTGATTCATGCATTATTTGATATCCTGTCTATTTTTTAAATTATTTTTTGATACTGCTAAAAAAAGATTTACATTTCGGTTTTAAGTGAATATTAAGTTAATACTGAGCTAAATGAATTCAAATTTGCTTAAAAATGTGATTGAAATTGAGGGCTATGAAAAAATAAATTTGCATACGCAATGAAAATATTTCAAATTCATTTCCATTTCACATTATTTGTTAATTTAAGTTCAATATTAAATTCGTTTTGATTAAAAAATCCTTATTATCTATCATATATTAATTTGAAAATGTATTCAGATTGTTGATGTTTGTCAAAGAATGCTAAAGAAAAAACGAATTCTTCTAGACATGTCTGAAAATGAATTGAAGGCTTTAATAAGCGTTATTTTACCTGGTCACTTTTCACGAAACCATTCAAAATGTGATCTTCAAGAAGAGGCCATTCGTTGGTTTGTTTCTAATTTGCATATTTTTACATCTTAACTAATAATAATAATCTTAACTGAAATTCATTCTGCCACTTTATTTTCATCAAAATTATATTCATACTAAATTATTTTTTTGTTTCCTAATAAAAAAAACCTTTTGTATAACCGAATTTTTGACTTACGTTAACTTCAACAGAAGTGATAAGTCATTCAAAACTTACTTGGGTCTTGAAATTAAATTGAATAGTAAGTAATTTATTATTATGCAAATTATTGGACAATTCATAATTACAGCTGAGTAAACATGAAATCGGACCTATAGTGAATACATTTCTAACTCATAAATCACAATTATGTAAAAATAAAATATAAAATTTTTTCTAGGCTTCTAGCTAATGGCCTTCATTTGAGCCACGAATTCACGTTAATTGAATTAGATGACGGAAGTTACGCTGTAGTTACAATCGAGAACAGATGCGACTGCTGCTTTGATCGATCACTAATACAACGTAAAAAATAAATTACTGTAAAAAGTTTTACATAAATTATCATAATACCTAACACTAATGTTATTTTTTAACTGGAATAGTTTGATGGTATTCTGAGATATTAGCATGTCTGCTTTAGTAATAATTTTAAAGCTTAAGTATTATCGTGAAAAAGCCATTGCAGTCTCGCAGAAAAATCCTGGCAAAATTTTAGAAAAGTGTGAAGGAATTGAATGACTAGTAATTATGCGAGAATATGCAAACATGGAGCTTTGTAGGCAATAATAATGCTATATTATTCAAGAACTATTAATTATGAATGCAAATTTGGTTATTGATTTCCTTGTAACAATCGTTTTCAATTTCATCTTTTGATCAATCAATTACTTCACTACTTATCTATTAACAAATCTACGAGAATTTTTCGTTTTTATCCAAAATTATTTACAAAATATTTACGAAATATAAATTTGCGATTTTTTGTGCGATTATAAATCAA